TTGTAGTATACATTCGTTGCGCTGGGTCGGCTGCAGCAGTACTTCAAGAATATGAGCAAGCAGCAATGACAGGATTAGTCAGTAAACAAATTACAACCGGGGACATCTAGACCAAGTTGGGAAACAAAAAAAAGGATGAAGCAGTATATATATACTGCTTGGGAATCGCATCGGGAAAAGCTGGCACTAAATAATATTGCGTCCAGTGCAGCCATTGAAGTCAGTGACTTTTTTACGTTACATTGTTCGGTTTATTTTTCATAAATAATATAAAGCGATATGTGCGCGCCCGTACTACAATGCCCGGCCAGTTTTGGTTTAAAACATTGGTTATTTCTCGGGTTTCGCTTGATGCTTGGTGTATCAAATAAAACGATAACTCTGCTAAGTTGAGTCTGAAGTGGTCATTACAAGCTAAACATCACTATGTCATACTGGGGGCAACTAGATTGACACTACTCGACTATGGGGTAGTAGATGTAGCAGCAGCATTTTCACGAGCTGGATTTATTTCGGACAACAAAAAGGGTCACCACACAAAATGTACAGTATGCATTGGTGTTCCGGGCAGCCTCCTACGTCGCGTATCTGCACAATAAATGTCCTGGCCACCTCCCCTTTCAGGTTGCCCCCGTGATGAGCTAAATACCCCTGCGATGGCTGCTGGTGCTGGTGGCTGCTCTGTAAAACTATGGACTGCGATTTCTAGTTGTTATCACGGTAGGGGCATCAGTCATCATGAACTACAGCCGCAGTCGTAAACCGACTGTGAGGCTGAACCGCTGTCTCCTCTATTTTTGACGCTGATGCCACTAGCTTCGCGTACATTTCCCACTATTAATGGCACGAACGCATGCGGAATGTGCTTCATACTCTCGTCCGAGTAGTACCCTTCTATGTGTATAATATTATAAAAAGACAAAAAAGATAATGCTTATTATAAATATATGTTTTTAGATTAATGTATTTAGTAGACGTTAATAAAACTTTATAATAGGGTTATTTATGTGTGAACGACATGTGTGTATGTGTAATTACCCAATTTATGGTAGAATCAGCGTACTTTGCGCGCAGTTCTAGCTTTTGCCTCGTGACCTTGGCTAAAATATTGCATTCATTTGTAGAGCTACGTACCTACTGTAAGCTACCGTAGGTAAGTAAAGAAGCTTTTCACGAATATACCATTTTGCAGAGGGCCACTTTTATGGCAAGCTATAACGACAGCTATTGAAACATCTCGTTATGTCATGCCTAGTATTTGTCTGTCCGCTTGTAATTTACCGAGTATATCTATCGATTTGCGAAAGGCACTGGACGCCATATCCAAATGTATGGGAACTGAAGTGGAATCGGGGGTGGACAATGTTGTTTTCGTCACTCGGTATATTTGACATCTAGAAGGCGCTCAGCTATGGCGCACATTCGTTTTCAATACTGAGACTCGGCTTTCCCTCAGCGAGTACTTCAGGGGTCTACCTAAGAATGGGGTTGTCACTGGCTAGTCTCTTGCTCTCAGACTGGAAGCGATCATTTTCTTAATGCAAAGAAAAACCTTCGTTGTTCTGCTATCGTTAGATTTAGTTTACTGGACTCCCCCAAAATTGCTATAAATACACAGGACAGCTCAAGAGAGCATATTAATGAGAAAAAGCTAGTCAGCCATCGCTGGTCAGGACCATTCGAACGCATTTGCCTTTCAGGCTCGAATCCGTGTTCACTGAGATTCATTCACTCGCCCGCCATAGATGGCGGCACATGGTCATGCGTTAGAGCGCGCAGGTCTATTGCTAAGCGTATTCTTCGAACGTGTATAGATAATTCGATCCGATCGTGCGTAAGTAGTCCGAATCACCGAGAGAAAATTAACAATAGGCTCATAGCACGCAGCGCTAGCAACACGGTTTATGGAGCAGAATGCCTCGTGGTAACCGATGGCAACTGGTGCCGGTTATCTAGCCAGTTGGCTGGCGATATGTTTATTCGCTGGTGGCCCGTAAGCGTCAGTACTTGTGTGTCCGCGTGTGAATGCCTTCGCCATGATTACGGTGAGGCTAATGGCAGTGGCGAACTCTGCCATGGCAGTGCTACGAGCGAAAACAGCAACATAAGGAGTTCACCATATCGACCATGCGGCTACACAGATCTTGTTTGAGTAACACTTACCGGGCCTGCTATTACGTGCTTTCGATGTTAAGTTTGATCTTGATGCTATTGAATCTTAAGATAGCTAGTGCGTTCGTCGCCATTGCGGTCACAGACTCTCGTAGACAAGCAGTATCCGCTGCGACATTTAAAACATCTCAAACGGCGACGAAGACGACATCGAACACTCCCTTCTGTCAAAGACAGAGGTATATAATAGATAGCAAATATCCGAGGAGAGACTAGTGATATAATGTCACCAAATAAAACGGCATACTTCGTCTGATGCCAAACCGAGCGATTTCTGAACAAAAACTCAGCGAAAAATCGCCGCAGGCCGCCTTTTCTGTCTGCGCGTTTGCTTGCTCTAGCTTCTTAGTGAAACCTATATGGCATAGGGAGACTTCAGTCGCATTTAGCGGCCGTTGGTCTACCGACGGGCTGAAGTGGCCGGCGACTCGTTGTAGTCGAGCGTTTCGATTCTCTTTGCTTTGCTTCTATTTCAGTTTTTTTCAATGCCTTCATTCGCGGCTGATTTCTCTGTCTGATATTGCCATGTGTCGCGGTAACGACATCGCTGTAGCAGCGATCGGCGACCGCATCGCCTCTTCTACCGCTGCTTCCTTCATTCAACCGTAATAGACCAAGTTCGTCCAGTTAAACGTAGTGGCTAACTAAACGAAGCGGAGCTATAGTGTCTTGTTCCCTTCGTCGACCAGACGCAGTACTTCATTGATTGTCAGCGGCAGCTAGCGTCACTAGTATTTGTGTTGCCGTGACGGCGCCGACCGTATTCATTGCTTAGCATAGTACATATACAACATGCAGCGACCGCTAGTGAACGTTGCAATAAAATTTGATTACCGCTGACTGGTGAAACGAAAAGAAAAAGGGCCGCAAAATTAAAGGAAACAAAAAGAGAACTGACAGACAAGTAAACCAGATCTAAGTCAAGAGAGGACGAGCAGACGACATAAAAGAGATAAACAAGAGAGAGAGAGAAGGATGAGGAGGAGGGGGAGGGGAGGGGATAGAGAGAGAAAACTAAGAGCGACGAATTAGACTCTACCCTATGTATAGTATAATAGCATCAGTACGAAAATCCTAAAACAAAAAAAAGAGATTTGACGGAACTAATCCGTCGGCCTGGCTAAATCCTTATCGTTATCTGAGGCCTTTGGACCAGGTGCCGATCGGCGCTGGTTGGCCGAAAGATAAGGCTGCGGAAGCAGGATAGAAATTATGAGGCAACCTTCAGCGAAAGCAACAGCCCACGAGACAGCGGTGAATAAACAGAGGTCCGATCCCTACTGCTGCCTAATGCCACCGGAGACGCCGGGGGCACCGGAGAGGTGGTTGAAGTTCGGGGGGAGAGACTTCATTTTTTGAATGTTAATTTTTATTAATTGGGTATTTATCATTACAGGAATCTGAAGCAGGAACCAAGTTTCTCTCGATCGACATAAATAATACTAGTCTAGTTATATGGGTACGTGGATTTTATATAATAATAAGAATGAGATTATTTATTATGGCTGCACAGTACGTTGGTATTTTCAACATTATGAACATTGTACCACTATCCAGCCGTCGACAGTCAGACATGAAGCGTCATGATGTTGATGGTCATAATGATGAGGTTACTCATGACACGATTATGCCTAACCTCATAGCAGGAAAGTTTTGTTGATTCAGCCGACTTAGTTAGTTTAGTATTTATGGCGTCGAATTGTTTCGTAGTGTATTGTATTACACAACTGGGGTGTTTGCTTTTTTTAGTCAGATGATAGCGCTGTGTCCCTGTGCAACACAGTCCGCAAATGACCATGTTATCTGAGAGTAAAAAGTAGTTCCCTTAATAAACCCTCGCCCGTACTCTTTCTACCTGCGCCTGAACAGTTTCATCCACGGTTGACGATGGGCCATTGTCTGTCGAGCGGAGCCTTAGGGCATGGAATGGGTTCTTATTTAAAATCTGCCATCGCTTCATCCTTTCACGCTGATCTTGGTCCAGCGTTACTAGTATTACTGCTGCTGCCGCCGCCGCCGTTGCTTCTAATCTTGAATCCGCCTAACGCCCGGTGGCTGAAGCATGGGGCCATATTTTTTGTAGCATTTACTACCTGTATGCCTAATATTGTCTCGACTTCTGATCGTATCGCCAGCGGTCGACCTTAGCGATAGTGCGAGCGATGTACGACTGACCGATAGCCGTTCCACGAAGAGATAATGATTATAGTAAAAAAATTTGAAAGACTAAATAAACGAAGCGAACTATTCGAGTCAATTAACCCTAGAAGAAAATAAAGGACCAGTAGTGATGGTGCTGCCAGGCAACGAAATGGCGAACTAACAAAGGAGAGCGAAACACGGGGTGGGGGTAGAGACCAGAAGTAATCGGCGTCAGTCGGCGTCAAAGAAAATGAAATCGTCAACAAGACGTATCGGGAGGAGGGAATGAGGTAAAGTTTAGCGGCGGTATAAGACGACTCTGTTTGATGCGACTACAAGGCGTCGGCGACGGCTGCTGCGACGAAATGTCCTTGTTCTTTAAAAGGACGCATTCTTGGAGGGAGTAATGTGATAATGACGTCGAGCTGGGCCGGCTAGTACATTCTGGGCAAAAGGCAAGCCCCGATTCATGTAGCTGGTCACACTGTGGGGAAATGTCGACGGGTAGGATGATGTGTCTCGTATGTCGTACAACTGGCATACGGGTGAGTGTGACTCTTGGGATGAACACCGCCGCTGCTTGGGCAACCTTAGATGGATGTAGCATGCTCTATTCGATAAGACTCCTTTCCAACTGTTCCTTTTTCATGCTGACCGTCACGTTTCGCTCTTGTTGATTCCCACAGATGAGGCCGAAGACACCTCGCAGGACGCTCACGTGTGCGGCAAATGCCGCCGAGAGTTTCTGGAGCTCGGCGAGTTCCTTGCGCACAAGCGGGCCTGCACCGGCGCGCTCGGTCCAACTCCACCGCAGCAAGAAGACAGCAAATCAGGTCTGTTGAAAATCATTTTTTCGCTGAGATTATCTAGCGGTTGCTTTCAGTTAGAAAGTACTTGTAGCATTTTCGCGAAGACTTAGCTCCCCGTTAAATTATTATGAGCTGACATATGTTTGCATCGCGCATATGTAGAATGTTAAGGACCAGGAAACGGTCTCGAACTTCATTTTACGCAGAACAGAATTTTTCAATACATGATTGCTTCTGGATCCCATACGCAGTAGATTAGTTAAGTATCATTGTTGCACTAGGATTTGTACTGCAGCAATATATATAGATCGAATTATTCAGTTGGAGCTGGCATGTTTTTTTCTCGCCTCGAGGTGGGATTTGTCACTTCTACAACTTGTTAGCATCATGCGCTATAGTTGCCGGTATGACGAATAAGTGACTACAGAATTTTTCAACGCTGTAAATCGTTGAGTTTCCCGTCTTCCTCTGGGCTTAGAGTAGGTAGGTGGCTCTATCTTCACAATGATAGAGTTTCCGAACAAAATAGAGGAATTGACACAGTGGATGAAATAGAATAGCTTCGTTAGTTCAGGCATTTCGTTGAGAAGTGCTCACACCCCACAATTTCTCACTTGTACTATCATCTCTATCCCCACCTCTCTCGAATTCTCCATATATCGCCTCGTGTGTCCCCTCAACGAACTACTGCTGCCCCCTGCCACCCCACTCCACAGACGATGGAGAACTGCCTCCTACGCACGTGACCCTCGAGGCGCTGCGTGGTACCAAGGTAGCAGTAGCGCAGTTCAACTCGCAGTCTTCCAACGACGCTCCGGCTCCGCCTGCGCTACAGGTTAGTAGAGATAGCAATAGTAGTATTGTGGTACTAGTGAGAGGCGATTCTACCTATCTGGCTATCTAGCTAGGTGGCAACACCTTACGAAAGTGCTCTCATCGAGGGCGATTGAGGCGTCGAACGATTACCCGAGTTTTACTCTGGGGTATCGCGTACCCGTGCCTTCCAATCTATGTATCTAAACTCATAGTTCGCAGTAGCCACTAGGCAATGTCACACTCGTGTAGTCTTTACGCGCACTCGCTGCACTCACAGAAGGCGTGGGTGATATCAGCTCCCACGCTGGTACCATTCGTACACAGATTCCTTTGGCGATCCCTTGAGTAATGTTGACACACACGTATACAGAGCAATAATAGTGAAATTCCAAAATCAACTAAAGAGGAAGTTCATTATAAGGTTATCCCCGAGAACGCAACGCTTTGACATTCGTTCGCACAGGACAAGCGTCAGATTTTCATCAAGTGTGCATCAACATACAAAAACACACATAAACACTGACGTATAAACATACACACACATTTACAGATTACAATCCCAGTGGCTAGTACAGTAGTGTTTTATTGATAGTGCTATCAATCGATATCGTTTTTGTGATCCATGTTATCCTATTATGTGATGTGATTCTAACAGGACGCGTTGGTGACTCTGCGACATCAGCAGGCCGTGCAGTTGCAGATTCTGCAGCAGATCGAGGCTTTCGTACAGAACAATGTTGCCCATCCGCTCGCGTCTGCGCTTGGCCATGAGCGGGCCGACTCACCGAAGGTTCAACCGGCCGACACAACGAATCACGACGAAGAAGCCGACGAATCGGATCGAGCGGCGGACGATACCCCTAAAGGCCCTCGGGGGCCAGCTGCAGTTGACAGTGATGACGAGAAAGATGAGCGTTCACGCAGTCCCACCACCCGCGACCATACTCGTGACATTTCACGCAGCGGAGGAACAGACAAACCTATGGACCCCCTCAGTGCGTTAGGTGCACTATGTGCGCCTTTACCCCCCGATGCTGCTCCAGAAACAACGCCTAACCAACCAAATACACTCGAGCTGCTGCAGAAACACACCGAGAAGGCATTGCAGAATACAATGTCAGGTGGCTCGTTTCTGCTCAATGGGCTTGGGGCCTTCCCCGACGATGCCAATGGCGAGGGGAAAAAGGGTGACGGCAAAGATAACTACTTCAGGTAAAGTATCCTATTAGAATTTTATACTATTTTGTAATAAATGCATTGGTACTACAAAAATAGTATTGGAATTGTTGTGTGAATGCGTTTCGAGTATGTCCTCGCAGCTACTTAAAACGTTTCTTTTAGACATTCTGGTGTCTTTTCAAATAATTAGCTAGTATGTATAATGTCCTGAATAGTAAGGCCGATGCATTTTACGTGTATAGGCACCGATGTCGTTTCTGCGGCAAAGTGTTCGGTTCGGACTCCGCACTGCAGATCCATATCCGGTCACACACCGGAGAACGACCCTTTAAATGCAACGTGTGTGGAAACCGATTCTCCACCAAGGGAAACCTTAAGGTGCACTTCCAGCGGCATAAGGCCAAGTACCCGCATGTTAAGGTGAGCATTATCGATTTGTGACATAGATCGTCACTTTTATACGGCGCATTAATGTAGCATTTTTATTTTTGCTTCTTCTGCATAGACGTGTCGTTAAATGGTATTCATATTTTTAGATGAATCCACATCCGGTCCCTGAGCATCTGGACAAGCACTTCCCGCCTCTAGAACCCCCTGGAGAGCGGGTGTCTCCACCACCTAACCAGCTGTCCTTGGGACCGCTGCCTATTCTAACGGCTGCTGCAAATGCACCACTTCCCCTGGATGAGAATGCTCGGTTCCGTCTTAGTCTAGGGCTCGCAACCCCACATAACCCCGGTAAGTACCAGCGTTCGTCTATGAGATATGATTGAAACACGTTTCATTTTTTTGACAAGCTAATGGACAACTACTACGACACACATTAATGTTTCGTTGATGACTAATAGACAATAATTGGTCCTGTCTGATATATATTTGTAGCGGCAAAATCACTGTTAGGCGGAGGCGATCTCCGATTAACGACTGCGGCACCTTCGGATTTTCACCTGCGCACGCCTTTTTCCGAACGGTCGTCGGCGGAAGCTTCGACAACAGCGACACCTACAGCAACGACGACGACAACCGCTCCCGCGGCCGGCGTGAACAGTGTGAATCCGCCTGGTAACACTGACAACTTGCCGCTTCTGCCGGGAAACCCGGTATCGGCGCCTGGACTGTGGCAATTAGCCAAGGAGCTGCAAAAAAGCAGGGACCAAATGTTCGGCCTTGCTGAACCAACGACAAACACCGACGCCCACGAGGACGACGATGAAAATAGTAATGCGAGTGACAGATCGCAACACGAAGAAGGTAAGAGTTGTAGAGAAAACGTATATATGATATATAGACGAAGAGTGGGCGCTGGAAGCGGTTTGCTTTATTGCAGCTAGCGGTTTGGCAATAGCGATGTGGAGAAGGGCCTAGGGAGAGGGCCGCTCTAAATAATAGGGGGATGAAAAGTTAGTTAACCAGCTATCTTCTAAACACAGCGGGAGTCAGGCAGATCAGCTGACGAAGCAGGGCAAGTGACCATATTATTACGGCTGGTCAGGCTTGATTCATCTGCTGACAGAAATGGTATCGTTTGGTGATTTGTTCTTCTATGACGATCATTATGCAGCTGACCGTGAACGGAACCCGAGCGCGAGTCCCGCGCCTTCAGGAGGCCTCAAGGACCCCATGAACGCCCAAAACGAGCAGAGACCGAAGAGGCACCCAATGGCAGACGAAGATGACGGGCTTGTCGGTTTGGAGCCCATTGAAAAGCGGAGACGCACCACCGAGGACTCAGACCCATGTGACCCGGCCGGACCCCTTGCACTGGCGCTCGGAGGTCTGCAATCACAATCCCAGGCGCAGTCCGTGTCAGCGTCGGACAAATCGGAAATGTCTGAAGGTGACGACGGCGCTCGACCTGGCGCCTCGCCTGATGGCCTGCCCTTGGGAGATGCCCCGCCGGGCTACGAATCGTGGGAAGAGCTTATGGAGGTGGCCACCGATACCGAGTCGGGCATCCAGAAGCTCGTCGAGCTGTCGGCCCAAAACGGAGGAGAGCCGAACCAGTGCGTCATCTGCCAACGAGTACTCAGTTGCCGAAGTGCGTTACAGATGCACTACCGAACTCATACCGGAGAAAGACCCTTCAGATGCAAACTTTGCGGAAGGGCTTTCACCACAAAGGTACGTATTAAGCTTATATATATACCGTGGTGGCGATTAAATTGCTTTTGTTACTGTTATCGACTATTTGGGTTTTCAATGGTAATATTCTGGCTAATTACCTATTGTATTACGCACTTTCAGGGTAATCTGAAAACACACATGGGCGTACATAGAGTCAAGGCCCCACTTAGAGTTATGCATCAGTGTCCTCTTTGCTCCAAGCAGTTCACCAACTCGCTCGTGCTCCAACAACATGTCAGGAGTCATAATAATAACACCGACTCCACAAGCAGTACCGGTAGGTAAAATAATTGTTTCTGAAGCTTCGACAAAAACTAGGCCGTTTCAGCAATGCTAGGCAGTCATATCTCGGTCATACTCCAGTAAATCTCACCACACAAACGCTTGTATCCTATTTAGCTGGACAGCCACAAGACCTCAGCTGTGCATCGTCGCCAGGTCCAGCACCGTCTCCCCGAGCCACGCCATCTCCCCAGCGCCAGTCACCTCCAGCAACACCAAACTCGAGGGCATCTCTTGAGCAAATCGACTTTACTGCTCGTTCGCCGAGCGTCGGTCTGCCAATAGGAGCGACTAATGAAGCTCCTATGGCAAGTGTTCACGACGAAGGCTCCCGGTCATCACCTGATCTCCGGCCGGAAGTGACCTTCCGTGAAGGGGAGGCGGATTCCGAGTCGGGCATGGTTGCCTTGGCGCGTCTCAGCAGCTCGCCACTAACCAACCCCGCCATGGTGCCAGAAGCGCTTGCCAGCTTCATTCCCGATCTGACGGCGAGCCGTCGTAAGGCGACGATCGAAGCGTTGCGTCGCAACTCACTCAATCCCGAGCGGGCAACCGAAGGACCTGAGTCACAGGAGGGTCGCCAGGCGGAGAATGGCAGTGAAGTCATTGCCGCCAACGGTTTTGGACAGATGGCCCGGAGTTCGCACCTCGCTGGAGTGCCGCTTTTGCTGAGTGGGGGCACCTCGCTGGCGGCACTCGAGTCGTTGACGAACGGAGCACAAGGAATTGGCGGCATCGCCTTGGGGCTAGTTGACGGACACGCCAGTGCTAACGCCGGAGCCGGTATCGCCGACCGTCGTCGTTCCTCGCCGAAACAGCAGGAACCCGTGCTCGACTTGTCCTCCAAGCCGCTGTCCAAGCTCAATACGGCTAATCCGACTGATGCAGCGGCACTAGCTGTTACGAATCTCTTGCAAACCATACACAATCAAGTGAAGCCTCCTACACAGGTAGGCACTGATACATACAAATTTACTTAAGTTACTCTATTTAAGAAAATAGAACGTAGCAAACAACTCATAGGCGCATATTAGAGATATCACTTAGAACGCCATATCGTATTGAACTTTTTATCGACATTACTGTTGAGCATGTGGTGCGTTTAATGTATCGTATGGTACAGCTACAAGGCAAACAGACCGCCAGGTTCTTCTGAATTGTTAAAGATCCGCAGATACCCTACGCCCTCTTTTCGCGATTAGACTAATCTTAACTGGCAAGAACGAATATTTGTTGCTGAGGTCAAATTTTGCCGGATAGCGAAACCGGGGGGCAACACTTGTTCGCTGTATGACACTAGCAGTTGTAAAATGTCTGGGTTTTTGTACCGAGGACTTCTGCTAGCGGCACTATCCATAAATTGTTTCGTTTCGTGGGTAGATCCAGATACTGACTGACAGGGCAATCGGCGTATAAGCTATAGAGATTGGCGCTGGGTCCCTATTGTTTCTGCTTTTAATGTTACTGGATATCCCGGCGCGAGTAACGATATAGTGAACCACGTAGATTTATGCTTAATACCACGTAAAATACGAACGTCTCGAAATTGCTCCTTGCCAGCTTTCATATTCTTTTGACTCGGGCTTGTCTATTAGAAGTATTATTGACTGAATCTGGTTAGCAATTCGGGAGTGTAGTAACATCAATAAAAAAGGGTAAAGTGAAAATTCTCCATATTCCTACGAGTAACTTTATGTTACGATACTCTCCGCTCTTGTACCGTAGGCGGAGCTTTTAGCCCAGGGTAAACTATTACCAGGACTGAGGTTTCCGGTCGCGCCGCCAAATGGAAGGCCAAACACCACCTGTCAGATTTGCTTCAAAACATTCGCTTGCAATTCCGCGCTAGAGATCCACTACAGAAGTCATACTAAGGAGAGGCCCTTCAAGGTAAGCAACCACAAATACTCCAGTATCTACATATATTTGTCCTAATGGGATAATATCCTTGTTAAAAAAAAGCACTAACAACTACTTTCACAGGAAAAATTTACCGAGGCAAAAAACGCCGTTGCCAAACGCATCCCCTAACCATAACTTTTCTGCTACCCATACGAATTCTAGTGCGCGATCTGCGAGCGTGGTTTCTCTACGAAAGGAAATCTGAAGCAGCACATGCTCACTCATAAGATCAGGGATCTCCCTCCCCAGCTATTCACGCAGACGAATACTTCTCCAGGGGCGTTGCCCAACCCCAACGCAAAGCTGGGCGCGGCCGCTCCCCAAGCCCTCCAAGTTCCGGTGAGTTGATAAGTATACTGAAGGGCACGTGTGGCCTGACACTATTTTGTAACCCCGACAATGGTTGTTGTGAGCAAGGACAGTCGAAGTAGTCGGATAGGCATCTTCAAACAACAAGTATTTGCTTGGTAAGATGATCTAAGGTAGATCCGATTATGTGGTTACTCATACGATTTTGTAGTTGCTGCCGACTTCACCGGTGAGCGGCGCCGGTGACAATTCCTCGGACTCGTCGCAAGGAACGTCACCGTCGACGCAGAGCCCGCTTGGCTCATCATCTTCAACTCCGAGTAGCAAGCACGTCTGCACCTACTGCCAGAGACCCTTCTCCAGTTCCAGCTCTCTCCAGGTAAGTTTCGTGTGTTGAGTGTCGGTATTATTGTGCTTCGTGCGAAGTGCACAACTTTAGAAAAGGAAAGGGTGACAAATACCATCCTTGTCGGCCCATGTATTTACAGCATGATTACCTGTAGTAATAGCTACCTGACAATTAGCTAGCCCTTTCGCGTTCTCTCTGTGAACAACGTTCGACTGAGGCCTCGCCTGAACAGGTCCTGATCGGAGAAAGGGCGTTCCGCTTCGATGACTGCGTGCAAGCTATCGATCTCGTCGCCTCAGTGTGCATGTGGTCGCCAGATAGTAATTAGGTGTCATAACGGAGGCGATCGCCTTCGAGCTTGAGCTGAGTGTACTCATCCGTTGCTTCAATTCATTCTTGTGCCGCATTCGCCAGATCCACCTTCGAACTCACACCGGAGACAAGCCGTTCCGCTGCGCCGTGTGTTCTCGTGCGTTCACGACGAAGGGCAATCTAAAGGTGCATATGGGCACGCATGTATGGAACCAGCAACAGAGTCAGCAGCTTGCCCTGGTCAATCCGAGCACCCCTACCTCACAAACCAGCCCGACGCCTGCGAACCCAACCACAACGCCGCCAGTGATATCAATACCCGGTAAAACAGACAGCAAGCGCAGTAATAGCAACAGCAGCAGCAGCAGCAGCAGTAGTAGCAGTAAGAAGCTTGATACTGTTGACCTCAACCAAGTAATGGCGTCACGACCGGACCTCTACTACAATCCTTACTTGTCTGCTAGCTTTTTCAATGGTGAGTTCAATATTATGTTAGGAATATAAGCGTTTAAAGAAAGCTTTCTGAATAGCAAGGTTATGGGCGTTACGAAGGAAATCAGCGTCATTAAACGCTTTTACTTTTTGATCATAAAAAGGGCGCTAAGTTTGAGTAAGTGGGTTTAGGCATGAGGAATGTGTTTCCTAAGGGTTTTATGTTCCTTGCAGCCGCTGCGGCCTCTGGAGGCCTGCCCGGCCTACTAACAGGTCCTGAGGATAGTCCACTTCCGCTTGTGAACAAAGGTGGATTGCCTACGGACGCAATGTATCCCCTATCGCTGGTTAAGCACCTTCAGCAACAAATGCAACACCAACAACAACAGCAACAGCAACAACAACAGCAACAACAACATCAGCAGCAGCAGCAGACGCACAACCCTCACGGGCCAACGCTGCCGTCGCTGAGCGCACCGTCCCCTTTGCATTTGCTTGCAAGAGGTTTGACAACCGGTGGACCGATGATGGCCGAGAACGCCGATGAGCAAACGGCCCACGGTGGGCACTCGGCTTCGCCTGAAACCGGCTTGAGCTCCAAGTTCGAGGCCGATCCTGAAGCGCTATCTCTGGTCAAGAAGGCTGGCTCTACGCAGCCAGATATCAATGACAACGAGCGGAACAACAAAGAACAGATTGTGCGTCTAGCGGAGCATGTCAAACAGGAGGCACCCGACGAGTCGCCTCTGGCCTCAACCGAAGTCGCCCAATAAGTGACCCTCTCCCCTCTTTCGATATATTTCTTGAGTAAGACTGACGTTACGGCAGCTTACGTAGTCAACGAGTGGATGCATGCGACAGGTGGTAAAGACGCCGCATAACGCTGCACCGAAACAGGATGGCTAAATTTAGTTCAAGCAGTAGTCAAAAGCTCGAACTAAATCGATCAAATTCAACCAATAAAAAGGCGCAAAAGTACCATCCTGTATGCTCTGACATCTTCCTACGGCCATGAACAGCGTGGCCCTACATTTTTGTGTTGAGCGGCAGATGTCGGCAATTTTGACGAGGATCGCCGACGGTGTATATGGCATACGACATGGGTGATGCTTGGATGAAACCTATGATCTAGGTCAAGTCAGAAGAATACAGAGAAAAAATATAAAGGAAGATGTAAGAAGCGAGGGCAGAAGCGACAATGCCGAAGACAGAGGAACAAAACGTACGGACAGGAAAAACCGATCGACGCATCCGAGAAAACACAAAACTACCACTTCCATTACCATTATTACAACCACGACGAAGAGTTACGGGAGGTGGTGTGCAACTATAGCTTTCAACATGTTCAACTGTGAATTGTCAAATCATGCTGCACCGGCTCTCACTCAAACATTGGAACAAAGCAGAAACAGCTGATGCTGAACAATAAATAGGAAAATGTAACATGAAAACGACAACAGGCATGGTTAAAATTATGATCGATCTTTCCCACCGTCTAGTGCGTTGAGATAGGAAAGTCATAATATAGGGCAATATTGGCCGCGAAGTAAGTCACTTTCGACTGAATGATAAATAAATATTGTAATCATACTAATAGATCGTGACGATACAACAAAACAATGGCATCAAGCAACTAATTTATTTAGTATTGTTAATATTCTGCTCTACTTCCACTGATTGAACTCATATAATGCTCTTTGTCGATCTTCTTAGCTGCCACCGTGTTCAGGGTATAGGCTAGTATTCTTTTTGTGGCAAGGATGACACACAACGATCGACGATGATGATGATCATGAGCAGACGACGATGATTTTGATCAGTAGTGCAATACGGACGACAAACGGCGAGAGAGGAGAAGCTATGGGGGCTATCAATGGAACAAAATAAACTGCAACAGGTAACATAGTGGAGAAATCTAATCGACGAACCCTACCGCACATAAGGTGATGAGTCACAGGACACTGAAGGCTGGCAAATCGAAACATCAACAACGACAAGCTAACAGCTAGTTCAGAAAATGCAACACGTCCTACCGATTGCGCAAGGTCGGTGGGGCTTATCAGGATGAATCAAAACGATGACGCTAATGAACGAACTCAAAATGATAAGCACTGAGGCGTGGGGGGGTGGGTGGGTGTGTGTGTGTGTGTGTGTGTGTGTGTATTTCGTTTTAAATATTTACTTTTTCACAATTGTGTACAGGAACAAAAACAGAAAGGCCGATAGCAGTGAAGACAGCAACGACAACAAAAAAAAGAAATACAAATAATTATGTATTGTACCACTGAGACAAGGAATAGCGCGAATCCGCGAATGGCGAGAACTCTCGATAACCTCCTTGTGGTACGGAACTGCACCTTCACCCATAATGAAGGCAAGGGAAAATGGCAGAAAAAACTATGAGAATATGATAAATGCGATCTACAACTATTAATACTACTACTACTATTAGTATATTCTTCATAGAAGCGATGCCAACGATATCCACACATCAACAGGAGTAACAAAGCAGAAGGAGGAGCTGACAAGAAGGAAACACACAAAAGGTAAAGGGGCTCCGCCGAATGAAGAGGCACGACGAAAGATGAGACAAAATCGGTGATTACTTACTATCATCATAAAAATAAATATTAATAATAAATAAGACAGTTAATCATATTACTAGTGATAACAGTGGTGTCAATGGCGAAAGAGAGATAATAGTAAAAGTACTAGGAGCCAGAGTGTATGTACATACAGTAACAAATGATAGAATGGTATGGATGCGTACAAGTGCAACTGCTAATAAACTCAACGCGAATACTCGACAAAGCAAATAAACACAGATTCTTCAAGTTTTAGTGCAAACGGTAGGTTGCTGCTTCGGCAGGTAATAACCTCAAACACGGTTGACCGTAGACGATGACGATGACGATGACGCTGGTAATCCCAGATCACTATGTACATTATTACAATCAATCACAAAACAACTCGAAAGCAGGTGGCAGATACTTGAAAACAGTAAAAAGCAGACCAAAAGTGAAAAAAGCTTACTGAAGTCTTAACTTTCTAAAAATGTACTTTCTAAAAAAATTCTAAGAGTCCAAAATGAAAGCGACATCATAGCCACAGTCGGACGATAAAAATGATGAGGCATTCAATTAAGAACAAGATAAATTAGTCGAAATATGCATGTTTGCTTGGACACGCGGGTGGCATCATGGCCATGTGCCCAAATGCACAATGCCTGCTGCTGTTGCTGCGGCTGCTGCTGCTGTTGCTGCTGTTGCTGCGGCTGCTGCTGCTGCTGCTGTTGCTGCGGCTGCTGCTGCTGTTGCTGCGGCTGCTGCTGCTGCTGCTGCTGCTGCTGCCGCTGCTGCTGCTGCTGCTGCTGTTGCTGCTGCTGCTGCTGCTGTTGCTGCTGCTGCTGCCGTTGCTGCTACTGCTGTTTATTTATGTTAATTACAACATTAAACACAGCATGATAAAATTTCCCAAATACACTAAACAGTACTAACCATTTTTGTGGGGGACAGTGGCAGCACATTATATGCGTGACGATATGAGTACGTCTGCCTATCTGTATGTATGTGTGTCTGTGTGTGAGGCAATGTCTTATGGATAAGTGCGTGACTAAATTATCCCTCTTTGTGAGCGTGCAATGGAAAAGACACCAAGTGTCCTATCGCCAGCGCGATTGAGAAGTTTTTCTCTTCAACACTCAGCTATTATTGCGCATCCGTGCGCGCTCGTCTTGGACGAACTTCGAATGCAGCGCCAAAAATTCAGCTTCCCGAACGGACGTCGATAGTTGAACCGATGCCACGGCGAATTATCATATCACATTCCGGGAGGATCGACGTAGCATCACTACCTTCGGCGTGTCCGTTCTAAAACAAACACTGGCTCGAAATAGCTTGAGCAAGCAATGTCCCGTTCTCTCGCTAAGTGGCCACAACCAAAGCGCCAGCACAACTTGAGCTAACTGCTCCACTTCCCAGAGGCGATGAAGTCGCCATCGGCAGCAACGGAGAAAACGAAGGCCGCCTCCATGTGTGTCCCAACAACGAACATAAAGAACAAGTACGCTTCTTCCATCAAAATTCTGCGCATCGATTTGACGTGGAACCTAAACGAAGACGACACAATGAATGGCATGAGCGATAGAACAACTCAATAACACTGATAGCATTGATAATATATATATATATATACACATGAAACAACAACAACAACAACGGCTCCTCCTCCCCCAAAATAGATCTCCCCGAACATGAAATTAATACACACAGTGTGCATATAAGGTATATATATATATGCTGGTTGCAAATATAATTATTATATTATTAATACTAATGATGTATAAGGTAGGCAAACTGAATAAATATAGGCATGTGGTTGGTCACGCATTAATGTGAACCTGATTGCGGGAGTGTCGCACGAAGGAGAGCGCGGCCGCAGCTGAAACCGGCACGCAACGACGACCTAAAGTCACCTGCGTGTGACGTCAAAGACTATTTGACCCACCACTATCGCGTAGGCCGCCGCCGCCGCCGCCGCAGTATCATCCCTATTTCTTCGTGCAGCATTCTGCAAATAGATATGATCTTGCGTAGCAAACCCTAAACAAGTTCCAAACAATAGAGGCAAGTGAAGCACTCAACACAATGAAACTATTCCCAAAGATTTCGGGGCGGGGGTACAAAATGCAAACGAGGTAAGAAAAGAACAAAGACAAATAGACATTGCCTGCAGACATTGCCTTGGGGCTAACAGTGACTCTTAAAACGATCACCTGTCCTAAGAAATATGTCTCTTGGCTCGTAGACGAGTGACTGAATGTTCACAGATCCAGCAGCTGCTTGCGTACGGTTGGCTTTTGTACATGGGGTGACCGATGACTGTGTCGTCTTAAAGCTGGCTTATTGCCTCGCCTAAAACGGTTGAAGGAAATGTATTAGATACAGAGATGCCTAAATAGATGTCATTCGAAAAAGGCGAACTTCAGAGGCTGATTGAGGGGTTCAAGTTGCCCAGTGATCAGTGATCGACGCAAAATTGTGTCTAAAAATACAGGACATAACGTGCATTTTGCAATGAAAGACGGTCGCGGCATATTCTAGTTCAGGGCTGAACGGCGGGAACCGAAGTTATTTTTTGTTACCAATGTGCAAAATGACGACGACGACGACGACGACGACGATGTGAAGTTCTGTCGTCGCATCAAAGGCTCTTCCAAAACGACGGTCGCGATCTCGACAGAATAGCGCTGCTGCGTACGATTAACCCATTCGAACGTTTTTGACGGTGTCGGTCGAATGACGTCGGTAGGATGATATGATCGAATCAACAACACAGGAGCACACGCGTAGCTGATATGTATTCTCAACATTGTGACCATTAATACGACGCGAAAACAATATGATCTGAAGACTGGGTCTTCGGGCGAGAACTACAACTCACAATGGAACGAATCGAAATTGATTACAATTTTTCAAGAGGCAAAGTCACTGTTCTATAGTGTATTTGTGTCCTTAAAGAGGCTCTAAACCGCCCGGCCTATATTAGCGTCTCCGCCATGTCCTATGCTTCGCTTGGTATTGAACGACGATTCAGAATTAATCATCTAATAACCATTCATAGTACGCAATTACTTGACAATTAACTAACAAACATTTTTATATAAATTCGCCAGTTTACGGTCACGAAGAAAGACGCGGTATCGGCCGACCATTTATCACAATCTTTCCACCCGTAATATCGAACGTGTAGAAACGTAAGGAGCTGGTCAGTACGATAAAATCGACGATATCGAGGTCACCTAGAAATTCTCATTACGATATCAATGTTAATTACGACGAAGGAAAAATCGAATAAAAACGGTCCGGTATTCAACAAACGAACTAGACAGGTAGAGGGAAGCATCTGAACGAAGACAGATAGTTACGCGTTGCGAACGCTAGCTCAGACATTTCTAAATAACGGGTCGCCGGCCTAAAGACACTATTACCTATAATAGTTATAATATTAATCAATTATTACGATACTACTGACCTCCCCCACAAGCCACTGTATGATGATTGAAGAAGAGAGGGAAAAAAAAAAAATAGGCCGGCATCGTTGCTCTTCAGCAGGATGTAGTTCAAGTACTATAATACACATACAATAGAAACAGTAGCCCATTGCTAGTGACATACGGGAACGGACTATGACGCCAACAACCAATATACTATTGACGAATGATAGTATAGGACATGACTATAATATTATACACCAACAATGATATAGGCAAATGTGAGCGAGAACGATGATGATGATGATGATACGGGGACGATGATGTTGGCTACTTACTGAAAGAATACGATATATATGATAATAACCGTGATGAAAAATATAATAATAATAATAAATACTAGTAATAATGACCACGACGACGATGATGATGACTGATGGCGACGATATGAAAATAATAACGACGAAGAGCGTCAAGATGAGAATGATGATGATGATGATAACAATAATAATAATAATAATAATGATAACAATAATAATAATAATATTAATAATATTAATAATATTAATAATAATAATAATAATGTTTAACGTCGGGCCTCACTCGATCAGGCGGTGCCAAATTGTACCACGAGGTGGCACCCTCTTCGAGCCAGTCACGACGACAAATGATAAAACCAACAAGAACGAATAAATTTAATGCAATTTTAAGCCAATATTAGCTATATTTATTTTTAGATATAAAATGAAATTCATCCAAACGATACAAGACGAGTCAAATTCAGAGGGAAAAGTTGAAAACTCGAAGGTAAGTGGAAAACAAAAATATTTTTTGCAGCTTCGAACCAATGACCAGCTCTTACACTGAGCACAAAACCAAAGAAGTCGGAGATCGGCCACTTCGGTCGACCCCAAGATATATAATCGAAAGCATTCCTAGTTGAAGCTCATAACGTTACAAGCCTCGGACCGACTATAGAATAGGCAGAAAGCCTGAAAAAGAGAAACGTTCGAAACATCTACTATTGGATGCAATCGTTTTTGTTTCGGGGGGCCTAAAAACAAAATGTGTCAGCTTTGATTCAGAACTTCCGCTCGTTTGAAATTCGTAT